AAATCTGTTAAGTTTAACGGAAACTTGACCAATTGGATGAAATTGACAAAAATTTCAAATATAAAGGACAAAATTAGCTAATTAAAAATCAATAAGGTAAAATTGATGACAGGGTCAAAACGGTGTAACACTATTTTTTCCTTTTCCGTTAATTTGTACAATTTTTTAAAAAGAAGAAGAGAAAAAAAAAAGAAAAATAAGTAAAATATTTGGTAATTTTTGTGGAACTGAAGAAAAGTGACGTGGACAGAAATACGGGTAGTGATGGAGGGAGGATTGTGTACCGTTGGTGGAGGCAAATTTTTATATTTGTGGTGATGGTTTGAAATCCTTACAGATTTAGGAAGTGGTGATGGTAATTTTTAGGAGAGAAGAGGAAAGGGGCGGTGGTGGTGCGGTAGCGGAAAACAAGTAAAAGAGGAAGAAAAGGAAGAGGTTTAGGGTGGAGCAATGAATTAGATTAGGAGATAAATTATGTGGTAGGGATGTTATAATAATTAAATGGTAAGATAAGTGTATGTTACTGAATAACAAAACATTAGGGATAAAATGTTAAAATTTTGGGTCAACAAAGTTTTTTACCAATAAAAAATTATACAAAGAAACGGAATGTCATTGGAAATATTAAATCTAACAGAATTCCCATCAATTTGGATTAAATTGACAAAAAGTTGAAATTTAGATGATGAATTTGGTTTCCCAAATATATTTTGGGTCAAATTGGCCAGAAACTTGATGTTTTGGACAAAAATGATCATTTTCTCAATTAGTTTATGATATTATAGAATGTTATTCACCACATAGGTACATCTTATACCCTCAATTATGATTGGTTAAAGACAAACCGTCCCGTTTTTCTTTCAACTAATCAGAATTGAGAGCATAACATTTATTCATGAGATGTGGAACATGTGATCAAGTCCACAATAGTTATCACTTACTAATGAGGTTATTTGCTTAACTTTTTTTTTAAAAAAAATAATCTAAATAGATTTAAAATTATCTCGATAAATATAATTGTTAACAGAAAAAAATCCACTTGCTTTTTTCTTGGATAAAATGTCTGCCACTACTCAATCTAATTTTATTTTATTTTTTCAAAATTAGAACTTTCTTTTACTTTTATAAAAAAAAATGTTCTTCATTTTTTTTAAGTGTGTTCATTTTTTTTTCACAGTAATCATTTTAAACTGCAATTTTAAAGTCATTCTTGCTCCTTTTTTTTACCCCTTTAGATGTGGCTCAAACAATAAACCTTTAACCCAAAAAAGCAAGAAAAAAATTGATGAATCGTATCTAAATAAATACATAAGATAAAATTCTAACTAAAACTAGAATTCTAGAATTCTATATGAGCCGAAGCAATTGAAAATACCGATAGGCAATATCATAACAAATTGAGGATGGATCTCCAAAGGACTCTATATTCTTCAATCATGAATGCAAGTACACACACATGATGTTGAGAGAATTAGATAAGGCTTGAAGATCATCAATAGGAGGTAAATCAAGTTGGGTTTTTGAGGTGAAGAAATCAAAAATATGCATTTATTTACCATTGAAAAATGCTGAAAGCAAATTCCAAAATGAATTGGATTTAAGTAGCTGTCCTTCCTTTTCAAAAAAAAAAAAAAAAAGTAGCCGTCCTTATGATGGCAGAAACATTAGTAATTAAATGTTTGTAGTGCAGCTTATCAGATGCATTTTTCTTTTGGTATTTGATCCGCATCGAAGCATAGTTTGGAAACAAACAAATTGATTTCTTTTGGCCTCTGACTAGGGAACCATTGTCGGAGTAAGAAATACAATAGTTTGATGGACGACCAAATTTATTGCCAGGACAAATGGCGACCACGACGACCGAAATCCATCTAAATTCCAAGGCACTGCTGCTCGAGGCTCGCGCTAGATTGGAGAAACTACAATGTTTGGAATACTCCTATTCGTCCTAGCCGTCGCCATCTCTGGAATCCTCACAGGAGCTTTTCGGTGCCGTGAGGACAGATTTTCTTTGGATATTATACACATCTAATTTACTGGAGATATTATTTAAATGTGTTGGGTGTTGCTATTTTTTTTCCCCTCCGGTGGTAAATTGTTTATGAGATAGCTTTTTCTTTTTCTCCACTAATTAATGGGTTCAATAGGTTTTAGGTTCTTTTTTTATAATACGATTCAATTAGATATATATTCTTAGGATACACCGTGTTTCTAATCCTATGATTGTTAATTATTCTAATTGATCATAAGGTTATTAGCTTACGACGGAACCGTTCCATAACGGGACTCTAGTGTTAGAGTCCAATCGACTAGACGGTTCAATCATAGACTAATCACCATAAGATCAATTGAAGCAATTAACAACCATAAGATTAAAAAGAGGGTATACAGTAAAGAAATGGACCAAAATACGTCTGATTATTTAGAGTAAACCAGCAACCTGTTGAACCGGTTTATTATGGAGGAACCCGATTAGTTATGCTAACACGAGGAAGCCGACTTATTTCGAGACACTCTTGATCAAGCGAGATGGGATTGTTAAGTTGGAACAAATACCCGCGACGTCATCCAGCAACTACCAAAACTCTGTTTCTCTTGTTCAAAAGCAAGTAAGAGACTAATGTTTCTGCTGTTAGGAAATCTTTGCCATTGTACTTCTACCTGAAAATTAGTGCTGCTCTAATTCCCAAAATTAAATACCGATAGGTTTCCCTTTCTTTTTTTGTTTGAAAAAAGAGAGCAAGATAAGCAGACAAGGGATAGTAGGTAGCACTTGACAGCAAATTAACAACTCAATTGATTCAAGCAAAAACACAACTGAGAAAGCAAAATATTGCGTAAAGTCACAAGATAGATTACCCCTTTCAAAAAGTCACAGAATACCTCACTCCTTGAGCCTTTTTCTTAGCCTCCCAGCATGACAGATGAGCTAGCAATATATACAAACTATAAAGAGCACAAATTACATGGAGAGTTTGCAGCTATTTCATTGTAAAGAAAACCCTCTAATTGTTTCATCAATGAGTACCAAAAAATATTAATATGATCTTCCCATCTCAATTTTTTCAGTTAAATTACTAAGGAATATAAACATGTATATAAATTTTTTGTTATTAGTCAATTCTATTTCTGTCTGGATTTGTTTAGGTGAGTTTCCGATTAAAGACGGTGAAAGGACTATTATGTTTATATTAAAATCTCTTCAAATAAAGAGTTCAAGTAGAATAATCCGTACGGCCAATGGAACTATTGTAATACTCCTATTTCTCTTCGTGGTTTGTCCCCAGGTTCACGAGTCAGAATTTTATCATCTAAGCCGATCGTGCAACAGAATCCTTTGATGAAAATTTATTTGGGATTGTGTTACAATGTTTCTCACTCCATAATACATTTTACGCTCACAATTCTGATTTGTTGAATTTTAACTGGGTGGTTCCGTCAAAAAGCAACAACTGGACCATATATATATATATATATATATACCATAGATGTAATAGTTATGATTCTATTAGGTTTGCAAAAAAAATATATATATTTTGTTAACAACAATCGCAAATCGCATATGTATTCCCAATCACATCAAAACCATTATTGATATTTAATCATATGAGAATTTCATTTTGTTACAAACAAAGATTTCACGTACCAAATGTTAGAGGTTGTGAAACAAACACGAGTGACCAAGATTTTCATTACTCATTGTTATGAGAATGAAAAATATAAACATTCTCTAATCAGAAAGTCTTAAAAGAGCACCCATCGGTTTATTAGAGTTGATTTGTTTTAAATGCGTATGTTCAATATTTACCTTGCTTGTTATTGAAAAAAAAAAAATTGGAAAATACTTGGACAGCATACTTTTTGTGCGGCCTGGGATTATTTAAATTTAAAAAAATTAAAAATTCTAATTAAAAACAAAATGCTTCTTCCTCTTCAATAAGCTAAATTCATCCTCCCTCTCACCATATCTGTAGAAAAGATTTACAAAACAAAAAGAAAAAGGAAAGAAAAAAAATTAAATCCAAGTTTAACAGAATTCCCACAAAAGGAAATAAACTATTTTAACAAATTTTAAAATTTAGAGCTTCTATATTCACCATCACCATTAATAATATTAAATGTAGGAGAAAAAAGAAATTTTGGTACAAGAACGGATAGAGAGAAGGTGAGGAAGAAGGAAGGGCGAGTGATTTCTCCGTATTGAATAGTGCCTTTATACTATATCAACTTACACTATAGTGAATATTGACCAAAAGGAGAAGCAATTTTGGCAATAATGGGCCTAATATAATAATAATAAGACTAATAAATATATAATAAGCGAAAGAGTCAAAATATAATGACATTGAATGAACAAAATACATCTTAATGAAAAAAAAGTTATATTATGCATTGGATTTCTAGGCGTTTGATCATAATAAAACCCAAAATTCTCAAATTTTTATATATAACATTATAATCGAGACTGTGAAAGACATATTCGTTTTCTTGAATAATTCTCTTAAATCACCTCGTCTTTTTATTGAATCTGACTCGATAAAAGAATGTTTTGTGTTGGAAACGAATTAAATAGGGATGCAATTAAAAAGAATTAGTGGGTGATTAATAGTTATACGTTGTTTAAGTCGATCAAAATTAAAAAATGTGGACAAGAAGCATTAAAGCCGAGAAAATGTTACACGGAATGTGTTACACAAAAGAAATGGTTCAGGCGATCTCAAATTTCCATGACTTTTTTGGGAATATATTGAACAGGTCCTCACTTTCAAAACATTGGTTAGTTCGAATTCCTTGAAAAGGCTCTCTTATAATAAAAAGTTAAAAAGCGAGTTACTTTTCCAGCTAAACAGTTCACCAAACTGTCAAAAAAAAAAAAAAGTAAAAAACCTTTCTTACTTCATTCCCTCGCCAACTCTCCCACAGTTTCTCTCTCCTCCACTCCGATACATAACTGAATTCCCCTCCCACTTTTCCGTCCAGGCGACTCCGAATTCCGGCGAATGTCAGGCGTAAAAATGGCGACGGAAAACGCCACTCCAAGCTCCACCGCCGATGAGTCCAAAATCTGTGTAGTACTAGGAGGCCGGGGGTTTATCGGGAGATCACTGGTGGCGAGGCTGTTGAGACTCGGCAATTGGATCGTCCGAATCGCTGACTCAACTCCTTCCATTCTTCTTGGAAGCGATGAATCGGCTCTGTCTCAAGCTCTGGAATCCGGCCGTGCGTCGTATTACCAAGTGGACGTTAGAAACAGAGATCAAATCGTTAAAGGTGCGCCTTGTAAAACCGCAGTGTTCAATTACTGAATTTTACACGTGAGAAGCAAAATGGAGGGATCACGTCCAACATTCTGATTCTTGCTCTGTTTCGTTATGCTTTAACGCTTTTGTTAGAATGTATTATCATCTGCAATTTTGTTCATCGATCTCTTCTTGTGTCAATTGATGCATCACAAGTTATGTGCGATTTTCTGTAGGATACAAGTCATCATGATGTTTATTTCTTTGCAAATTTATTAAGTACAATTTCTTTTCTCTTTCTAAGTTTCCTTCCTTCTTGGGGGTTGGGGAGAGAGGATGGGGTGGCTACGGGAGATATACTCTTCTTTGCCTATTATTCTTGGTTGTAAAGTATCTCCTAATACAAGTTTCTTTTTATTGAACTGCAACATTTATTCGTTTTTCTTTTTCTTTACATTCTTTCTTGGTGGTTTTGGTAGTGAAACACAATTACCTGATGAATTATGTGGGACTTTGTTCGCTAATACAATTACGGGTGTCACAACTTTGTGCAAGGTTTTTGATATTTTGAGGAATGTGTTGTGAATTTTCTTGTACTCTCCTTCTTATTTGGTTTAAACAATTTAGTTTTCTTCGTATCCTCATTCATGGAAAGAATTATACATATCTACGTGCATGTATCCTGACAAAATGAGCAATATTGGAGTATTTCTAAACCTCTGAGGGCATCTAATTGTAGCTTGTGAAGGCAGTGTGGGCTACTGGAATTTTCTATTTGATTACAGCTCAAAATTTCTGTGATTTCGTATCTGCAGCTGTTGAAGGGGCACTTGTTGTGTTTTACACTAATACTGTGGACTCTAGCAACGGCGACTTCTACTTCTATTACACAACTATAGTACAAGGTTGGCATATTTCATTTTTCTAATGTCATATTTTTTTGAGTAGCTGTCTTGTGGGAGGAAGTAATGCTAACATCTTCTGTTCCTTTCAGGTGTTAAAAATGTGATTAATGCTTGTAAAGATTGTAAAGTGAAGCAGTTGATACATAACAGTCCTGCTGATATAGTTTTTGAAAGTGGTCGTGATATAGACAAAGGAGATGAATCCAAGGTGTACGCAGGCAAAGTAATTCTCTCTGAAAAAAAACTTCAAAATAACATGCTCAGATGTTCCTTTTGATTCTTTAGCATCTACATGTGTCTTCTTTCCCCTACTTCCAAGTTTTCTTTTCCTCTCTAATGAGTCCGTAAATTAGTTTGGCAGCGTCGTGACTGATCTTAACGCTCAAGCTGAAGGTCTGGTGTTACGTGCTAATGACATTGATGGCCTTTTAACTTGTTCAATTCGTTCGAGCAATGTCTTCGGACCTGGAGACAAGCAGCTGGTTCCGTTGCTGGTGCAGATGGCAAAATCTGTTTGGGCTAAGGTATGCCTGTCTTGATTTTTGCTCATTCATCTTAGGCTGGCTATGTTCAAGACAAATATTTTCTGTGGGGTTGATTATCTTATTCTCTTATTGAAAATTAGCTTTCAACAGAACTGCTTGAGATATACTTTATTGGATGCACTTAGAAACTGCCACCTTTCTTTGTATTTGTCTCGTTACTCTGCTATCTTGCAGAAGCTAATTTTAGTTATTGCTTCATCTTTTTGCTCTTTATTTTTTTGGAATAAGTGATAGGCTTTCTCATTTCAGTTCATTATAGGAAGTGGGAAGAAGCTGACTGAGTTTACCTATGTGGAAAACGTTGCCCATGCTAATATCTGTGCCGAAGAGGCTCTAAGTTCAAAGATGGTTTCTGTATCTGGAAAGGTATTGCTCTTTTGAACTACTTTTAGTCGTGGTTTATAACTTTTCTAAACCAAGTGATGGTTTGATTTGAGAAAGATAACAGTAACAATCAAACTTTTTGCAGGCTTATTTCATCTCGAATCTCGAGCCCTTAAATTTTTGGGAATTCAACTCTAGTGTGCTGGATGGCCTTGGGTACCAGAGGTATTATGGAGCATTCATGAAATTTAAGGTCATCTGTAGTGAACCCTAATATTATGAAACCTTGCAAACATGCAGCTTTTAGTTACATGCACAGACTTGCTCAGCCAAATTCTTAGCTGTTTTTATTCATTCCATAATTGCTTGAAATCCATTTTTATCAAAACCTGTAACAACATATTACTATTGTTCTGCTATTTAATGATGGAGAAAATAAGCCCATCGTCAGCTTATGAAATCGCGATATTTGTTTAGATACAGTAGAAAATGTACTTTTCTGCAATCTCTGCTGTTGATTGCTATATTTGATTGCATGTTATAAAGATTTCTTAAGCTGATCCTAGAACGGACATAAGTGGGCTGGAACTGTCTTAAGTCTTAAGCCTGTACTAAATTAGAAATTACTTGCAAATGCACCTGAAGAATTGTGTTCTATCGTTGGTGAAGTAATTATATGCAAAAGCAACTGCACTTAAGGATTTCTCTTTCACATTAAAGGATGCCTAATCAATCTTCATGTGTAATAATTATAGTGGCTGTCACAGGCAGGACGTTTTTTATGTGGTTTAAGTTGATTAAGGAAAGTTTATGGACATTGTTTAAGTTCAATAGTTTTCCATTTAAACAGTGTTGAAAGGATTCTGGTGTATATTACTGATAGTGTTTTTTCACTCTTAAACTATCAATTCAAACTTACCTTTTCTCTTTGAATGTATGTTAGCTGTCTTTTTCATCTGTGCATTTATTGTTTTTCCTCTTTGAGTTGTACTTATACATTCTGGAGAATACATACCTTTGACCTTTAAGATGTACTTTCCCATATTTGGGTCTGGGTCTTCTTTTGGTTTCCAGTTCATGATTTAGTTCTCAGCTGTTCTTGTTCAACATGATCTTCTTTTTGATGTAGGCCCACAATTAAGCTGCCAGATTTTGTGGTCAAGTATTTCATTTTGGTTGGGAAATGGTTGCATTTGAACATGGATTTTACATTTGTCCAAAAAGTGTCCGATTTAAGTTTGTGCACTAGGACGCTCGACTGCTCGGCTGCTAAGAAACACATTGGATACTCGCCTATCATTTCGTTGCAAGTAAGTGACCTGTCGGGGTTTCACACTTATGGAAAATGTGAAGTTCGTCTTGTTCTTGTTTGTGGTTTATCATTCTCCTAGGTTGTGAAGACTGAAAGAAACTAATAAGTATTTTAAAATCATGAATGTTGTGGTAGTAATTGTGTCCTTTCCTTCTTTTATGTATAGAAGTTAAAATAAGAGTTCCAAAAAAATAAAAGTAGAATGAAGAGTTCTAGGAGAGTTCTGGATTGCATCATTTCAGAAGAGAAGCTTATTCCTTAAGTGCATGTTACAAGATCCCATGTTATTAGTGGTCCAGCTTCTCCACGTTCCACTACTTGGCTCAACTGTTGCAAAATGATTTCATTCTAGAGAGGCAGCCTTTTTTCTTAATAAAAGCTGTAGAGCATTCAAATGGAAATGGTTAAATTCCATACATAAATACTGAAGTGGAGAAAAAAACAAACTTCGAAGAAAAAAAGACAATACAGTAATAGAAGTAGGAGTGGCATCAGTGTTTATATCTACTTTGCCGGTCCACTTTCTGTTTGTAGTCAATTTCACTGTTGGCTAATAATTTTGAGGTTTTTATCCCCACCCCCAAAATCCGAAATGTTTCTGATAGGTGCTGCCTCTTGAAATTACTATGTGATGTTTCAAATGCTAAACAATAATTCATGCATTTTCATATGCAGGAAGGAATTACATTAACAGTTGAATCATTCTCCCATTTGGCTCAAGTCTCAACTTTCACAAAATACAAAGATTCTGGTGAACAATCGAAGGCAGATAAGATTTTAGGGAGTGGGAAAGGTACATAATTTCCTTCTTATGATATCATTTGTGAATTTGATATACGGGCCATTTAGGTTAGGTGTACTCTCTTTTTGGAACATTAGATCAATTGCATTAAATTGTGTGCATCACCTTTATAATTAACAAATGAGAGAAGATGTTTTTGTGTAGGAAAAAAAAAAGAAAAAATTAATAATGTTTATGGTTCTATCCATTTTAATACGGAAACTGGAAAATTTATGAACCTATTTCATTTCATCAGTTAATTTTAAACCAATATCAGCAGTTAGTCTTTGTTTAAGAAGAAGCTGAATTTTATAATACTTGGGATTCATTGTCTGTATCTGTTTGTTTCTCCTTTTCTTTTCCATAATTATTGAATTCCTGGTCTTTCATAGAGGAGAATTAGTTGAAAAGTAAAATGGGACTGAGCTATTGTTGCTGCTCTATTTTACAATCCGTGTTGGTTTTCCTATGAATGAGTTTCCATCATTTCTTCGACAGTTGCGGATATTTTGCTATGGAGGGATGAGACAGAAAGTTTTACATATTTCTTGTCTTTGGCTCTGTTCTACTACTGGTTCTTCCTCTTAGGAAGAACTTTCATCTCATCTGTGGCCATGCTTCTGCTGCTTGTTGCTGTTCTGCTCTCTTTTAATTGTTTCCTTCCAGCAAATATGTAAGTTTGAGAAAAGTGGTTTTACTTTCAGCTTATGGTCTTCACATCATTTTACCTGTTCTTTCTTCTTAAGGATACCCCCTCCCTTCCTATTCTATTTTCTTTCATTATGTTCCTAAAAGTTTGATAAGTTCTCTATGAAATTATGAAACTGAATTTCTTATACTGTGCCACTAGAAAAATTTTTTCTATACTGATAACAAGGGAATTTTCCTAGGGTGCATGTTAACATCAGCGTACCTGTAACTCTTTTTTTTTATATATATATATATTTTTAAAGGAGCTATAACTCTATCTGACACATCACCTGCTTTAATCTATATCCTATGGGAACTATCTGAACATATTTCCTGACTCCTGTGCCTGTGTAACAGTTTTGGGATGTCGTTTCCAAGAGTTCCGTCATCTTATTTTGAGATTTCAGAGGAAACGGTGAGAACTTCTTTTTCTATCATGGGTTACATATGGAATAGTGGCTGCCATCTGATGGGCTCCTTCGCTCGTGGAGAAGATTGGCATACGTTTATTATGGTGTGTATTGTCTTGGCTTTTGTTTGAGATTTTTAGCTGGTAGTTTGATTCTCATTCATCTTCAGTCCTTTGGAATATGTTCTTTGTTTCAGTGGTACTGAAATATTCTCAATTACTTATCTGTCCCCGTCTCTAGTTCTCTATTTGCCAGCTAACTCTGGGGATGTGCCTCTAAACTTCGATCATATTATTATAAGTTCTTATTACCTTGTCTCATTATTTTCTATGGAAAGAGGAGTCGGAAACATTTATTAATTTCACAGGTTTTTTATGATGATAATATGGAAAATGCCTTCAGGTTTTTCAATTACCGATGCAATGAATGATTCAATATTTTATTTATCATTGTGTTTTAAAACTGAACCAGTTAAAAACCTGTCATTATAGAGCTGGGGAGTAGTGTTAATTTGTTACTTTAACGGTACATTTTCAAGCCGCCATATAATGGTGGCTTGTGATGGGTTCTCTCTCTATGAAGGATTACAATTGGAATGAACTTTTACTAAGAAAATTTTAAAGCCAGATTGTACCAATGGTTATTTTACTAGACATGGTTACCCTAACATCTAATTACTCATGATACTTTTGTGCTTCTTCTCCATGTATATTTTTGTACGTGTAATAATTCGTTTCAAAATTATTTCTTCCCGACACATGGGAAGATCACAACTGTAATCATCATTCCCATGTTAAAAGACTACAATCACCAAGAAAGCAACTTGGCTTTAGTTTGTTAGGTTTGCTAACTTGGTGTGCAGTCCTCCCAATTTTTCTAACATGTTTCCATTAATGATGCAGATGGTAGCTTTGCTGTACTCCTTTAAGATGGCCGCAACTCACTGCTTAACTCTGTCTATTGGATGTGGTATGTGTTAGTTGCCTTTCGATGTTAATATTATGAATGGATATGAAGTCAGGGTTATGGGATTTTCTAATGTGGCTATTTGAGCATGTACTATACGTTCAACTTTACAATTTCCACAACACATAAAACAAAAACAAAAACAAAAAAGCAAAAAAAAATAATAAAAAAAAAAGGTGTCCTAGAAGAACTTTTGAGTAGGCTTGTAATATTGGTTCTCGACTTTTATGTGACTTGTACAGTGAAATGGTCTCAGTAGCCCCTGAGACTTAATTGTTATCTAAGCTTCTGATGTGACGGTTTTATGCAGCACTTGTTGTTGCATTCAATGCATTCTTCATCTATGAGCAATATGAAGAGGAAATTGATGGGGTTGTCACAAGTTTATTCATCTACACTAGGAAATCTGGGAGGTGGTTGCTGATGAATCTGCCTAGACCTCTAGCATCACGGCTTCCTGATCGTTTCATATCAGTTCAGAAAACAATCCTTCAATGATATGATCCAATAATGACAGCATTCTTGTGCTTATTCATCCGAGTAAATTGGGGTCGTCACTCATAGATGAATTTGCCCAGCTATTTGGATTAGTGCTTACTAATCTTCTGATTAACTCCGAAAAACTTTTGATTTTTCTGCTTACTACTAGTTGGATTCTGCCCAGAGTGACTCGCCAGAAAGAGTAACAAGGCAATTTATTGTTCTAGAATTTTCACTTTCTATTTTGTGATTGTAAATAGCTAATTTTTGGTTCTTAAAGTAGCCGAGTTGTCTCCTGAATTAGAACTGTAGATACTGTATGCTGATTAGCTGAAGGATGAAAAGCTGTAGGAGGACGAAAACAGTGGCTTTCTTCCTGATGGTCTGTGTTACTAACAAAGGGAACTTCAATTATATCGACGGACTTTTGTGGCTGAAATAAGTACTTCGGTTTGTTTTTTTTTTTTTTGTTGGATTACCACAAGGCTTGGGAAGCCTACTAAGCACGCCCGTGTGCTAAATTCTAAGCCGATGTTTTCGGTGAACAGAAAAGCCTGAAGGATTAAAATGCAAAATGAGGATATTATGAGAAAATTTTCTCCAGCTGGAATAGGAAGAAGTGTTTATTCTACTGCATGTTTTTTTAATTAATATTACTTAGTAGATTTGAATTCTCGATTATATGGCAACAATCTTCCGTATCTAATCTTTTCTCCTTATCTCACTAGTGTTGATATTCCTTATCATGGTTTCTTCTATTGTGAGATTTTTTTGCTAAAGTTTCGATGAAGGCCAATTGAAAGAGTTAATGTAAAATCCTAGGTTGATTCAAAATTGGGTAATGTCATTTTTTTAAAGAACAAATTAATGGGGTAAATTTTCATATCCGAAACAAGTTTGCTAGGTACATCAAGTCAATTATGCACAACAGTCCCATTTTTCTATTTTTCTTGACGTCTTAAATTTTAATTTATTTTAACCATCTACATTCTACAGATAAGGCCCCATGATCGCTGAGAAGGCTGAATTCACAAAATTGGGAATGAATTAAACTCCTCAATTCAAGTGCAAACTACCCACAACAAGCGCATCTAAACTACATTGAATGAATTTGGGCTTATCCTATCTATGATACGCAATAATATACAAAAGTAATTTAGAAGGATAAGAAATTAAATAACATTGGTTTACCCTAAATAATTACAAAACTAATTTAGAAAGATAATCCTGATTAAATTGCATTGGTTGATTTGATAGTGTCACTCTTTGCTTATACCATAAGATTCATCCGTACAAATAAACAGCATAACATTTTATAGCACCGTTGATGAAGATTGTGTATAATATCATTTTTTTATTTTATTTTTTGGTTACAATACACTATAGACTATTATTACTACCATTAATGCCTCTTAATTTGTTTTTCCACGTTAAAATTATTTGTTTAACAATTAACAAACCAAACAGAACTGCTTTCATTTACTTTTTTTCAACTTGATGGAGGAAACACTTCTCTAAACTTACAATGGGGGAAAAAGAGCTTAAAAAAGGTGAAAGAACTGATAATTAAGTATATTACAAGTATTAATAGTGTTCAAAATATCTAAAAGAGCCCTGCCCTAGATTCGTCCATCATGCTAGAATATCTGCACAACTAAACATCTTCACTTGTACGTTGATCGCTGATATTTGACTTCAAATCTTTATACCATAGCCGGCGTTCCTACAAATTGTCAATAACAATAAAATATTTATTAGCAAGCTCAAAATGTCCCCAATGAGGGTTTTTTTAAAAAAAAGAAAAAAGAAAAAAGAATTATGAAGTTAAAAAGACTTCATTGTTATCTGCTATTATTTTATTGTCAATGACAATATAATTAGCAAGATACAAAATTGTTCAGCGTCGTAGACAACGAAAGGGTAAATAGCCATTAAATTTGCAACTTTTAATGTCAAATTTTCTATTTGCCTTTGCAACACCAACCTACTGATGATAGTTACAATTGCTTACCTTATCACAAGATAATAAATTAAAATAATTTGTAAAATAGCAAGATTGAACGATATATGGGCGAGTTCACGAGAATATTTAATCTCAAGGAAAAATACGTGTTTATAATTGCTTCTAAAATCAATTAAGCCTAATAAAACATTTTAAACCAATCTAAGTCCCCAAAATTAAAAGAGTAGAACCCGAGTTGTGACCAAAAATTGGAGGTTTCAACCCCCGACTTTTTTTTGTCCTTAATGTAGGTGAGAGACTTCACATATTTTCCTTCAGATCAAACATTAGAAAGGATGTTCCAACGGCATTCTGTCAAAAACATTTTTCCTTTTTACCAAGTTCCACATTTTACTTTTGAATGGGAGGAAATTGTAAGGACCAAAACGCTGAAGCCAAATTTCATCTTTTCCTGGTTTAAAAATTGATGAAATTGAAGATTTGACATACTCAATAACCAGATAGATATGGCATCGCATCGGGAGCAATTTTGTTCGAGATCTTTATGAAATAAAGAAGAACTACAGATCTCCTAAAGACGTTTAGCCAAGATTACCACTCCCAAGTCCCAGACTGTTTACAAAGTTGCTAGTTGATAGCTGCTACTACGAACCAGTTATTTAGCTCATTTTATTGCAATGGTTCCCATCTACCTACAACTTTACTTACATCCCTTATGACTTGAATTGCATCGTGCGAAACAGCAGAGAGAACAGCAAAGAAGATAATCTGAGAGAGGTGTAGAAGTTCTTAGATGATTATGCCTGCTGCAAAGTAATCTTTTCTTCCCAGTTCGGTAAAATTGAATAACGCACTATTCGTGAAATTTTATGGTAGCTGACAACGAAACACACCCCTCCCCCAAACTTGTTCAACCGAGAGTTGGGTTTTCGGTTAAAACAGACACAGTTTGAAATACTCATGCACTAATAATCGCAGTTCTGGACTATTATTGTAGTTCTTATTGGATAAATGTAAGAAATGATTATCGCTAGCTTTTTGCATAACTCTTCTATTCACTGACGTTACTCACTTCTGCAACATTAGCAAAACAATGCATACAGGGAGCAAACAATATGCATGTTTACAGATTTCGCATCCAATGTTTTGCGTCCACTCAGACCCACTCTCCAACCACCCCCCCCCTCCCCCAACCCCAGCCCCCCAACTCGTTAGCAATATTGGACAATTTTCTCTATCTGCTTTAGAGGAAGAAACAGAGATCATTGCAAGTTTCTGAATCATACAGCCATGTTAGGCAACATTAACAAATTTCTAGTGAAGCCAAAATGTTGTAGTTCTCCTCCATATATAAGATAATAAAAATAACACAAAAAACATCCAAAAGAGTCAAAGGTAACAGACTAGGCGTACTTGACTGGGTAAATAGATCCTCTCTATTTTACAATGGAAAGAATTCCCATCTCAGAAACCATAATAGAAAAGTGTAGGCATCTCAGAATATGAAATAATCTAACACTAAAACATGGAACAGAATCAGCAAAATTGCAAGCCATACAAGTATCAATTACCACAGATTAAAATTTCTCACTCAAAAAAAGAATCATTTATGGAATGGATCTCAAGGCCATCCAGGGAAGAATCATTTACCAGCAAATGAAGAAAAGTGGTTATGAAGTCTGAGATGGCATAATGGCATTAACACTTGTGAACACAGATGAATTACTCAGATAAAAAAGGCTCAAGGATTGAGGAAATAGAATAAGCATGACGTGCAAATTCTAAGATGTATTATCAAAAGAAACATTGAGAACACCATGGAAAACATTAACATATACATCACCCAAAAAACCTGTATAAACACAATTTTTCAGAAGTTTCTTGCTAAGAAGTTAAAACGCAACATAATCAAACACAACACAACAATTAATACAAATTTTTCACAGCAAAGACAAGTATAAACTTGCTCCTTGACTGGTTTGAAGAGGTATTTTCCGACATGATAAGCAAGTAACTATCCTAAAGTACCTGCTAAAAGATACTTGCAAAGAATGTAGAGTTTTGCCCTTTTGCTCGATAAATTACTAACCAATGGCAAACATCAAGAAGCATGTAAAGTTTAGACCCTACTCAACCATAATCAACTAAAATCAGAGAGGAGAAGGTGATTTACCTCACGCGACATCTTTAATGATTTGCTGAGCCTTGACTAGTTTGCGCTCCAGATGGCTGCTTTACCTTACTAAGAAGATTGACAGCAAATAATAGAGTTGACTGATAGCGTCTATTCTTTTCATCCTCGGTCTCAGTTTTATCCTCTGCAGGACGCTCCTGCAACTGATTATTGACATTTACTCCTGAAGCATGCAGTAAAGGAGCATGTGGCTGTTGAGCAATAGTACTATTGACCTCATTGCCCAATGTAACAAGATTTGCAGGTTGTTGAGGGATAGACGAACCATAAAACCTCAAGGAACTCGTATCCTGTGCCATCCCATGGCCCCTTACTGATTCCTGATGCATCCCCAGTGAGTGCTGCGGTCCAACATGTATAGGCGCCGACACCTGTACATGAGAAGGGCCCACTGGCCTGGAATGCACAACACCTTGCTGTTGCACATTGAAACCAGCATCTTGAATTTGGTTGTACCCACCACCTTGAGCAGAAAAATTAGCTGGATTTGAGACAGGTGTATATGCCTGAACTTGTGGCAGAAAATTACCCTGGCTACTGAACTGTGGCATCGGAAGAACTGTCTGCTCAGGGACATTTCGCTCAAGCGGCCATACAGGTGCAATTCCCTTATCAGGTGTGGGGTTACTAATCAACGTGGGTCCCAGTATTGAAGTTGTCTGTACTGAAGAATTTCCAGAACCAGACATGATGTTGGCAGGAAATAAAGAAGATAGAGTGGCAATCAATTCTGGCGTGATCGCAACTCCAGCTTGAGATACTGCAGCATTATTGATAGAAGTAGAACTGGTGGTAGAAGGGCCCAAAACTTTTAGAGGAGGTTTTGTATCCTCATGTCCAGTTCGGGTGAACTGCATCGGCACAGACATTCCTTCTGGTGGCATTCCATTGTATGCAGCAAGAGAAGAACCAGTGTGATTTTGTTGATCAAGATAGTGTTGCTGAAGAGAGACCGACTGCGAAGTGGTATCAGGAGCAGCTGGGGGAAACTCTAACACAACTCCATAAAGCCTAGGAGGCCCATCAACCCTCAGAACCTTGGTGAGGAACTCCGATGGAGGTACCAAGAATAAAGTGGTCCCATCATCGAACTTAGCAACACCAGCCCGGTTTCTATCCTCAAGGTACTTCAGAAATTGTGTGTATGAAGCAAAATCATCTTCACTATCAGGCGAAAAGTATGCAATACTAAAGTCAACAGCTTCAGCAAAATGCTTGGTTAACATATCCAATCCGGTTCGAGCAGTGCAATTAACTATGTTTGGTCTGCAACAAAAAATAAAAAAACAAAAAAAATAACAAAAAAAGAATTGCATTAGATCATCAACAAGTAGGATACCATGTAATATAAAAAGTACCAGATGTTTTAAAACTAAAAGTCAATGGGTAAAGTAGCTTACATCTCGAACTCAATGCCCTTTCCAACAGGAACACACCGAGCTCTGCAAACCGGAGATCCTCCTCTTGCTAGAACTCCTCGCCACACATAACCAGGATCTGAAAGGCGCTTTGCTGGTGCATTTATTGGGCTAACTCGGTTTCTACCTTCATAGCCAGAACGAGCATCTGCAGACCCAGCACGAAGCCTGTACGATTCATCAAAACCCACTCCTTGGTCATCAACCCTTGTCCTTTTGGACTCCCTCTGGAGTTGGCTGGCATCAAAAATATCCCATACACCAGATGCAGATCTATTCGACGGATTTCTGCCTCCAGATGGGGAAGAGAGTAAACCAGGTCCGGGGGATGATCTTCTCCAATTTGGACCACCCAAATGGCCATCTTGAGAACCCAGAGGTCTCAACAGACCATCAGCCCCAGGGACTCCACGAGGTAGCAAATTTTGAGAGTTATGACCAATCACCTCCATTTGTCCATGACGAAAGGGAAGATCATTCATATATACATCAGGCCTAGGTCCATCAGTTACAGGTACACTGCCAAAGTAATCACTGTTTGGTGCAAGTTCGCTGTTTGAATACTCAATTGATATCCGTGGATTGCCAAAAAGCTTTCCCTGCAGCTTTTCTTTAGCTAGTCGTGCCTCATCTACGCTTCTAAATTGCACAAAAGCATAGTTCCTGTCTTCGAAGGTTTTTATTCTTTCAATCTCCCCATGCAGAATCATTGCACGATGCAACATGTCTTCATCAATCTGAACAGAAGGAGGATAACTTATCCACAAAACCTTGCTAGGTTGACCATCTCCTCTTCGCCCTCCGGAGGATGGCAACTGTTCCAAGCAACAAAGCAACAGATCAGTTCCCACTTTCCAATGTATCTATTTACAAATGTACAACAATTGATTTGACACAGGAACATATAATAACAATAACCCAAGTTGTGGAAGAGATCAGCTGTTGAGACAAAACCTAAGTTCTGATCTACGACCAAAAAAACCATAAGAGAGCATCAAATAAACTTACATGTCTTTTGGAACCAGCATGGATAGGCTCAGAGTACGGATTCATGGAACCATGCGTCATCCACCTTGCATCTGGCGGGCCAATGCTTCTGCTGGGGAATTGCCCTTCCCTTGCATCACGGAAATCGGGTAATGGTTCCTGCAGAGTGTATTTTTCAATATACTTATTTCAAACAAGTGATAAAAAATGATTTGTACAGAACCAACAAGCCAATGGCCCTGTTAGTATTTACTAATCGAAAGAAGCTAAATGTTAATTTGTCCAGGTCTCCACTATAATTACTTACTCTTCTAGAAGGTTGTGACCGAAGAAAATCAACACGTATCTGCTCGCCACCAAGTCGCTTCCCATTCATATTTTTCAGAGCTTGGGCTGCATCTTCTAATCTAAAGTAATCAACATATGCTGTATTGCGATCCCTAAGAAACTTAAATTCCTGAATTTTACCAAACTTCATGAATTCTTCTTCCAATTCTTCTTTTGATATAGATTGGCTTAAACCAGCTACCCATAAGCTCTTGCATGGCTTAGCCTGCAAGGAAGTAACAAATGAAATTGAAAATTTGAAAATAGGCATAAACAATAAAACCCAAAATAAACGAATCACTTAAAAACGCACCCCAAACAATACCAAATAAAGTACAGCACTTTCATAAATATGAAACTAGAAGAGGAATTGGAGACATGAAACACTAACAGAACAACATTTAACTAAGCATCGTCTTCAAAGCCATTCAAAACAAATACCCAGACAATATACTGGTAATGATTCCACGTGAAATACAGGGGATAGTACTTCGAATTCATACATTTGGCACATCAGAAATCATGAAAGAAATAGAGCTCATAGTTGTTAGTAGCTGCCCGCTTTGTGAAATACTAAATCTCAGACACCAAATAGCAACCACCAACCGGACTGCGTGGTTTAGTTACATATTTCCGAGGATGGCAAAACAACCAGATCTTTATTTCTTTCCAATTATTGGCTTGACAGAAAAAACATCAATATTAAGTGCAATGAACAAAGATGAATTTAGCCAAAAAGGTGCAAAACCTATACTACTGCACTGAAGCCAACCAAAGGCTCAGACATGTCAAAGTTGTCCTACAACATAGCTCAATGAGGATGAATTCTGGTGAATTATTGCAACGTGAAAATAGGCAGACAGGAAGTCAACCACTTGAAAGTTTAATATAGAAAGTTGCAGACATTCATTATACCAGGAATCCTTAATTCACAACATCTTGAACGGCAGCAAATAAGTGTGATTCAATTCAAACAAGAGATATTTATCCATCCGACCATCTCAGTCAGGTTTCAGCAAATTATAGTAATTGGGTTTGAACGTTCAAGTTTAAGCAATTGTTTTTTGCAGCTGCACTCTCAGCCTTCTTAACAAAAATTCCGTCTCGCAATATACAAATTGGCTTTGAACATCAAACGTAGCTTAACGATTGTTATGCCAACCTCCCAATTTCATTGTTTGTTTGAATTAGCATATCGTTATACTTTGATTAACTCAATTGGATGAGGTGGAACTTAGCAAAAGCATGCACGCCAATAACCTTTACAAACCAAGAGAGAATAAAACACTAAACACAGGGACATTAGGCACAGTGTAATCCAAAGTTAGGTCTATTTTGTTTAGGATTTATCAACAATTCCACGAACCCTAAAATGTTTGGTTCCAATATGTATATTAATGGTTATTTTTGAATATCTATTGTTTGCTTCTCCTTTGAAGAAAACCAGTTGAGATGTGAAAATAGTGAATCAATACCAATTGTCCGGAAAAGTAAATAGAGACGCATATAGCTAGATTTTGGCCTGGATTAAACGGATAATAACAATGAAATTGCACAAATTCAAACAATATCCTTTTCGTGGGCGAATAGTTTGGCTCGGGACGGGAAATAGGACCTTCAATTTTGGATAGATTCAAATAATCTCACGGGAAGCTTTAGATTTTTGGTAAGAAACAAAGAAACCATTGAATTGCAAACAAATCGAAAAGCAGATAATTGAAACCAATCTGTTAATAATAATATAAAAACAACGCCAAAGCAAAAAACTAGGATTACTGTTATGATTTTGACAGGTACGAATCAAAAGAACACGAACCGGTTTCGCAAACTCGATCTTGATCGAGTTCCCATGGAGATTTGTGCCTTGAAGCTGTTCTTTGGCGGCTTTGGCATCGTCGATTTTCTTAAAATACACAAAGGCGTAGCTTCGTGCCGAATAATTTGTTATGCTATCAATTGGCCCGTGCTTATCGAATAGCGCCATTAAATCCGATTCGGTCACTTCAGGGGTTAGGTTGCCGATCCAGAGATTATTCGACGGCGGCGCTTCGGATTCGGCGGCGAACGGCGGCATTGTAAAATTTGTCGGACTGTTGTTAAAAAAGATCGAAACCAAAAAAACAAAATAAACTATTTTTTTCCCAAAATTGCAGAGAAATAAAGTACAAATTACAAATCAATGGAAAGAACTGATTATTAGGGTGGCGTAATAGAGAGAGAGATTAGGACGAGAGAAAAGAAGAAGAAAAAGAAACCCTAATTTTGTTATCTTCGGAGAGAAGCCGGACTGGCAGAGGATAGATTGATGGGATGGCGACAACTTTTATAATTGGAGGAGTAGATAGTTTCTCAGTAGGAAAGTAATCAACTTTTATAAGGGTTTTGTGGTTATTATTAGGGAAAACTATTTTCGTTTTTTAAAAACAAATTTATTTTTCAAAAAAAAAAAAAATTTGTAAAAACCAAGACTCGAATTATTATGTTCCTGTCTGATATATATTATACTATATTATATTTATATTCAAATTCCACCATAATAAATTCAAAAATTTGTTTACTTTCTTATCTGAATCGTTTTTACTTTTCCCATAACAATGTTATGGTGAAGTTAAATATTGGACGAAATTACCGTCAACGTTAATACCACGCATGAATAGTAAATTCAATCTAAAAAGAAATACTAATGTGAATTTGAATACGAGCACAGTAAAAACCCCATAATAAATTGTAGTATTATTGTGTTAGACATCAACACCACATTTACGGGCTGGAGTCTCCATGCATAACTTAGGTGTTTGGTGCTCCAACACCTAATTTTTGCAGTGATCTTTTGGATTAACAGTTCACAATCTAATTCATTCCATTTTCTGGGGGAGATGGAATCCCCAAGTACTTCATCGGGAACTTTCCCTCCTTAAATCAAGTTATTTCACAGAATTGTCTTCGCATCTCTTACTTGACACCACTAAACAATATCTCCGATTTAGTCTGGTTGGCAGCAAGTCCAATTGTATTAATGAATTTTTATGAGGACCTCCATGATCTTACCTATAATATATGCATATGGTTTACAGAAGATCATTAAATCATATGCAAAACAGATGTTGGTCAACTTCAAACGTTGCGTTGAGGGTGGAAACGAAACAGTTTATTCTCAGCTGCCTCCTTTAGTAACCTACTCAAATACTCCATGATCAAAACAAATAGCAAAGGGGAGATGAAATCCCCCTGCCTTAAGCCCCTTTGACCCTGAAAGAGTCCCCATACTTCACCATTAAGACCGATGGAGTATGAAGTTGTGGTAACACACTCCATCACCCTATAAATGAACTCTGGTGGAAATGCATAGCCTGTCAACATCTCTGCAACAAAACCCCATTCCACATTGTCATTGGGTTTCAATATATCAATCTTCATAAGAATCCTATTGCTGATGTTTTACCTCCCATAGTGCTTGATAAGCTCCTATGAAAGAAGAACATTATGCAGAATCCACCTGTTGTTCATAAAAGCACACTGATTAGTATCAACAAGTTCATGAGTACCAGCTTCAACCTTTCACAAAGTAATTTTAAAATGCACTTATAGACCACATTGCAACATACAATGGGTCTATAATCATATGCATTCTGTGGTGCCTCCTTCTTAGGGACGGGTGCTAGCTCTGTAGCATTGACTTGCTTGAGTATGCTCCCAGTTGCAAAAAATTCCTTCACAGCTTTTGTTACATCATCTTCAACAACTCCTCAAACTGCTTTGTAGAAGTCACTGCCATAACCATCAGGGCCAAGGCTCTTGTTGATGTAATCTTCCATATCATTTTCTTGATTTCCTGGGGAGTAACATCTTTCAGTAAATTCAATTGTTGTTTCCAGTCAAGGACATGCCCCTGTTTGAAGATCTCCTGTTGAGCTGGTTGTCTGGAACTGCATCTTCCTAGTTGATGTTGGAAGAAGTCTATAAAGTGCGTGCTTACTTCTTTCCAGTCAGTAATAACTTTCTCATTTTCCAGAATTATAGAATAGATTCTATTCCTCATGTACCTTGTTTTTAATTTTGGATGAAAAAAGGCACTACTGGAATCCCCCATTTTAATCAAGTTCTCTTTCACCTTTTGTTGTATAAAACTTTCAGTTGCTTTACATGCCTCGAAGTAAGCCTTTCTCATATCTCTCTCTTGGCTATGTAGTTTTGCATTCCCACCATCCAAATGAATCTTCTCATGTACTAAGGTAAGATCTTCCAGTAATTTATGTTCCTTTAGTTGAATATCAGCAAACTTCTGCTTGTTGAGGAGTTTCAAAACCTTTTTAAGTCGTTTTAATTTAGTCACTAACTTGTACATTGCAGTGCCTTTTACAGGAAGTACCCAGCTCTACTGCACCACTTGCTGAAATTGCTGATCTTGAGTCGACATATTAAAAAATTTGAAGGGTTTAGGCCTCTGAACCATTCCCTCATCCAACTGCACTAGAAGTGGAGTATGATCCGGAACTCCCTCTAGTAACACAAACATTATAGAACATGGAAACTCTATAACCCAATACCCATTGACTAGCCCCCTGTCAATCTTTGATGAGATTTTTCCTTCCCCAGTTTGTTTGTTGGTCCAGGTATATCGATGTCCTTGTTGTTTCATATCAAAAAACTCATCTTCATCTAAGCAATTCTGAAACCCCAGAAATTCATTCAACTCAACCTTGTGACCCCCAATTCTTTCATCTACTTTGAGAACATTATTATAATCGCCTAGGGCTAGCCAAGACGAACTAATACCCTTAGCAAGTACTGTCATACTTTCCCATAATTGTCCTCTATCATGCTGTGTATTTAGACCATAAATTGCTGTAAATGTAAAACAGATTCCACTAGCTACTATTTCAGCTCAACAATGAATATATTGACTTTGTTGTTGCAAAACTCTCACTTAAATGCTATTTGGATCCCAGATCAGACAAATCCTTCCCTTATCTTGATTCAAACCATTACTATACCACAAAAAAAAAACCAGGCCAATATTTTTGTATCATTTCCTCCACCTTACTCCTGTTTAATTTGGTTTCTACTATAGATATTAAACTAGTATTATAAAGTGAACACAATCTATGTACTTCTCTTTGCTTAACAAAGTTGTTTAAGCCCCGTATATTCCAGTGCATGATATTTATCATTAATTACTAGGGTCAGGGGGTTATCTCTCTTAGTTCCTTCCAATTGTTGCTCCTCCTTTTTCCTATTATCCATTAGGCCTTCCAAGTTGTCATATGTTTCATCTAGTACTGCTAGTACTTAAAAGTCATTTTTGCCATCTCGTCCAATTTTCCGTGTCATGTTTTTTCGATCCAGTATTGAAACTCTGATTACCTCCCCTTCTTCCTGTGTATCATCAGACATTGCTTTTTGCTCATTCCTGTTGACCATTTTCCTCCATTCTGTGGTAACAGGTTTCTTCCCATTAGGCTCCTCTTTAGAATTTAGTTGCTTCTCTTTCTCTAGTCGTTTTTCCCGGTATACTTCCTCTCCATGCCCATAATTCTTGCACTGTTTAGATAATGTAGGTCTCCGCTTATAGAAGACAGTCTGCTCAATCAAAGTACCATTCTCATCCACAAAGTAGGTAGTAGTAGGGGGAAATCTCAACAGCAACTAGAATTCTGGCAAAATTCGTTGTATATTTGGCTGTTGTCATGGCATCAACTGCTAGTGGTCGTCCCAAAGTTCTAGCAATCTGACTTAAAGTTGTCGAATTCCAGAATTTCAGTTCCAAACCGTAAAGTTAAATCCACACCGGAACGTTGTAACAGAAAATAATAAAAAGGGTAGATTTTGGCATGAACTCATTAGTCCAAAAAGGTGGTATTAAGCTCTATTTTTTTCTCTTTTCGTCTTCCGTTCATTCAGTGGTCAAATAAGATATTCTTATATTAATATTATTTATATTATTATTACTACTAATTTATTAATATTAACCTAACCATAAAAAAATAGGAATTTAAGAAAAGTACAAAGAAATTTAGTAACCGAGATCTGGAAAATGAGTACCTTGTCAACTCCCAGATTACGCCAAATCCTCCTATAGTATGCATCCATCACCTTGTAAGGGGGGTTTGCTCCTAAAACGAAGCTGATAACCGACGATTTTCAATACTTCATTTCCGATGAAATGTCTGGCTGTTGTACCATCGCCATTTTTTTTCCCATCTTGCTCCTCCGGTGGAATGAAATCCAAACGAACCGCTCTCTTTCGTAACTTCTTTGCATCGAAATTACCCCAACCCGATTTCTGTTCTGACGGCCATTCAAGTTTTCTTGCCGTGTTCAGCCCTAGAATTTCACTGGATTTTCTCGCTTGCTGCTGTATCCATTACAAATGGAGTTGGAAGAGTTTTCATTGACAATTCATTCACTTTTGTGCTAATAATGGATTAGATTAAAATGGTTCATTTAAATTTCGGCGCTTCTTAATTTTGGTGAAATTTCTGAAAATCAATACATGAATGCACCAATGCATCTTGTGTCGTACTACTTAAACAATCTCTCTGTATTGATGTACATGGGTAAGGCTGCATACATCTTGACTGCCCAGACCCCAACCGAGTTAGGAATATACTGGGTATGTTGTTGTTGTTTCTCGCTTGCTGCTGACGATTCGCATCCATAGCCCACGCAAAAACCTCTTCACTTTCCTGGGCCAGATCTAAATTTTTTACCAGTTCAGATGAACTAGTCTTGTTCCGATCTATTAATTCCTCTATCCTATCTTCTGATTCTAGTGGGGAATCATCTTTCCTTGGTTGAGTACTGTCAATTTTGGTCTGAATTTGGGTTTTGTGAGCCTTGGCCTTCATCTTCGCCAGGTTGGTGTACGTTAACGTAAGTTTGCTATCGTGCATAGAGAGAGAAGGAAAGTACTCGCATTAAATTATAGGTTGGTCCATGATCTTTTAATTTTATTCAAATCAAAATATTATGGAGCAAATTTTATCCCTAAAGAAAAGAAATTAAACCATAAATATATTTGTTTTTACTTAAATTATTATCTTTAAAAAGTAATTTTTTAAGGAAAAGTTGATAAATGTCTTATCTCTAAATAAATTCTTCGGCTGTTTGTTAAAAAAAAAAAGGTTCTTGAAAAAAAAAAGAGTAGAATTTGTGAAAAAGAAATTTTTAGTTAAGAGTATGTTTGTATTTAATTACTCATATTTTTTGTCATTTCTGCCATCAGGGATTCACTTTTGCGATCAAAAGAAATAATTGTCTTTATAGAAAATATTTTTTATTACTCCCTTCATTCCAAAATAAATGTCGTCTTACACTTTGCACATAGTTTAAGAAACTCTTAAATAGGGTAATAAAATTACTTGAATATTCTCAACCAACCCCATTATAAAATTGTCCACCAATAGCATCAACTTTTTTTAGAATAATTTTGGAAACTTTTAACAAAAAGTGCATTGAAATGTGAGAACGACACTTATTTTGTAATTTCTCCATTTTGCTAAAACAACACTTATTTTAGAAACTTATTTTGGAATGGAGGAAGTAGTTTTTTTTGGACATAACTCCAAAGTTTTTGTCATTTCCCCATGTATTAATCACCACAAGACGCGATGCAATTGGTATTTGTTGTTTATGTCTGTAGTCAATGATTATCGCTCTAGCGCTTTCTGTTACTTTTCCCATAATTGTTTCAAGAGGTGCAATTAACTCTATTATTAAGACGACGAAACTCATCATTAGTGGTTCCTTCTTTCGCCAATGAAACCGCTTTCCTTTCTTTCTCTTCTCGTTGCATTGACCTGTTAAATTGTTGGTCCATTTCTTTTCCTTGCTAGATTACTCCACAACCAAATGGATTAGATTATTTTAGAGCTTGTGGTGTCCTTCGGTTGTAAGCTTCAGAACAATGATTTCTGAAGAATGTCCAGTTTGTCCAAAAGCTTTTCAAAGTTACTTGAAGTGCTCCCTGTTTCTTACTTCCATTCTCTATGATATGTCTTATTTTAGATTTTTATACTAACGATTACATTCATCCTTGAATCAGATCTCACCAAATGTCACAATTACTGCTGTTTGATAACCAGATGAATTGATCTCTTGCTTTTTGAGAAGCTGCCCAAAGATTACCTGATTTTTCTAGGGTTTTGTTATCAGATGGTTTTTCAGATCAAATTTTATTAAAAGTAAAAAATGCAAGTTGAACAATCATTTTGGAACAAAGAGTGTATTTTTACCTGGTTAAAGAAAAGACCAAAAGTAAGAAAATATATTGTGGCACAAAAACTGGAAGATATTTGAATTCATTAACCATATATAGCCTGACTAAGCACATATCTAGTCTAGGGTTTATAACAAAACGAATTCTTTTTCATCATCATCTCGACCGGGTGGAAGCTGAACTTTCAGGTTTAGCTGGTTTTAAATCCGTATTGATGCAATTTGCTTCACTATAAAAGTTTCAAGCCACCAGTGACATCATCCACCATATCAGCTGGCCCTGCACAAACGCAAAACAAACTATTTTCAGTTTACAACAAATATGGACAGAGAAAAAACCATATTTTTCCATACCAAATGGAAACATTTGGCACATCAGTGAATGCCTCATACCACATACATGACCAATTCTCCATGAAATGTTTACGAAAGAAGCCCAAATGAAATCTATAATCTTTTTACCTTTAGCAAACTTACTAACATGATCATACAGGGTTTATAACTGAAAAATAAAGGTTTAAGCAGATGAAGATGACTACATAGTAAATCTCAGATGTTGTATCTTTCTACCTATAATAAGTTGTACCATATGACTACTATTTTGGAATGAATGTAATGATTCTAGTATCTGAAAACAGAGAGCTTATATGTAACTGTAGAAGTATCAGAAGACGTACCAAGAACACACATCACAGTCCTTGAATCTGAAACATTAAAAACACAGAGTTAAGGTAATAACACTTTCAAAAGAATTGAAAATAAGGGATTCTTAACTACTCCAATATCCTTTTTTTCTTTCTTTTTTCTCAATTAATGATGACCAAGCAACTCCAACAATTTCAAATTTTCAACTGTTCCAGAGATAAACATGCATTCGGACATTCATATTTCATGATTGAATGTACATTCTCTTGACCTTCTTTCAATATGTTTTATAACAGGAAACTCAAAGTGATGTTAATGTACGGAACCATCAAGCCAATGTTAGCGGAAAACATTCCCCAGGTAGCTTGTAACGGAAATATATCCTCTTAACGTCAGTGTAAAATTGAGGAAAGCTATACAACTATACAAACTATTCTCAACTCACTTGGCGCAATTTGTGTTCTTCCCGCATCAATTGTGATATGAGTTGGTAAATGCAGAGATTTTGCTCTCTCCTGTCAATTTAGCAATAGAGTAACTGTAACTTTGGCAGAGGAAGTGTTTAAACTAAATTCACTTCTAAAATTAAGCAATCTGACATCAGAATAAACCGATTGTCTTTCCTTCCACAAAATCATTCACCCAATCGAACACCATTTTCTAGAGCATAATAAGAAGCTTCTCCTTAGTAACTGATTAAAACATACCCATTCAGAAATTAGCCCTCAATTGTATTGGTGAACCAATGTTTTCATGTAAATCAAAATCATAGCAAAACATTAAGGTAAAAGCATCTGTGAAAGCAGAAAGAATGGTACATTTTGAACCTTTTGAATGGTATCTTAAGTGCACCAGAAAAGTCTCCCTTAAAACCCTAGATGGTGGATATTAAATTTCGTAGTGTCGATTGATCACATCCTTCTATGTAACAAAATGTACCTAACTGCCCCAGATTAAGCAATCTCATTATACTGCCTCATTATCATCTTATACTTCACATTTCAGCCGTAAGATACCAAGAAGCAGCATCATAGTTTATTTTCATAATCAAATTCAACGTTAACCAGACACATTATGATGAAGGGAAATAGGTACGAAACAATTAAAATTTATGTTGTGAGGACAGATTTAGAGCTTTTAGAAGCCTCAAATCTTTTTTTTTCTTTTTTTTTCATATTAGAATTACATTGAAAATATGACGCTATAGTTATATGACATCTTTAGGAAATAAGGATTAGAGCATTATATTCACATTTTGATGATGGTAAATTAATTTAAACAACAAAAGTTTTTGATTTTATCTGGTTTTTCCTAAAACCCTAAACTTTGATAATGAATGAATATTAATTCCCCCACTTATGCTTCCACCCATCACATAGCTACAGAATGACCAAAGGTAGCACATTTTACAACTAAATTCTCTCCTCCAATAGAACTTAACCGCTGACAACACAACTTTAGCACACTGCCCAGAAACAGTCATAATATCGAGAAACATAACAAACCATAATTGGAAATCAAATGGTTTCAGACGAGTACACCAGCAATAGACGAGTTATTATTATTATAATGATAACTTACTTGTAATGTCAGCATCTCGTCTTCACTTTCAATCTTAACAACTACTTTAACCTGTCCACACATCTCCCACCTGCATAAAGAATAAGCAGTAAATGATCAACAGAGTTTGAAACCTAAAAACTTTATCTAGATTCCAGCCAGCCAGCAGGAAGTATTTGCATTACCTGTTCAAAGCTTTTGGAGCTCGATCGAGAATTTTCTTATAGAGACCCAGGGTTGCGTGACTTTATGATCAAAAAAGTCGAGACAAAAAATTAGAAAAGATTTGATCAAGCATTAAAGCTGAAATTAAATCAATTGAAAAGAACTTTATCACTGATTGGAAATCACAAACAAATTTGAAGTTATTAATAGTCATCATAGAAAAAGTTAAACAAACAATAGATTGCAGCTAAAACAGTAAAGGTGGCAGCATTCATCACTTCAGGAACAGGGGGACAACAAACCACTCAGAGTACCACCTGCTTTACAGAAAAGGTTCCACATACATAAATCAACAAGAAATAATCTTTACCTGCATTGAGCTGCAATTTTCCCCTTCCCCATCTTTAAGTCATTCCGGACAACCAAAACCTGCATAAAGCAAATAAGAAACCACTGTCTGTCAGCTATTCTGAAGCTACAGAAAAAGCTTTGACACCAAAGACAAAGAGGGATGATAACTTAAAGACCATTTTGAAATCTTCAAGAATGTCAGCCAGCCTCTCAATCTCTAGCAATGGTTTGGACAGGCTCTTTTTTTTGCCATTGATAGTCAGCTTATCAGTGGAGGATGTTGAGGCAGGGTTCATGCGAACAGCAGAATGGCGCACGCCAACAAGGTAACCAACAGCAAGACAGCTTGCCCCAATTAAAAAGGCACTGAGCCATGCTGTTTCAATCATATCCAAGCGAGTGTAAAATCCTACTTAGTACGTAAAGCTAAAAGAAGCAGCAGCAGCAACACAACTGAGAACCTGAAAAGATCTTGTAGGAATTACCACAAAACATATTGAGTACTACTTGCAAAGAAATAAAACCCGACAGGAAAAGAAAGGAGTGAAGATAGATGGTTAAGGAGTCTAATAGTCTACATGGTGAAGAGGCTTACCAACCCACAAAAAATTTCCAAGTCAGGCACGGCAGCTGCTGGTAATTACTCAACAGTCAAATCATAACCATCCGTGTTCTGGATAGCTGCATGTAATCCAGTGAAAGCAAAAAAGCAATTAGACTATATGCAATTCCCCATAGAAGGGGCCAATGAGTGATTGCAATCGCTGAAGGAGACCATCAGCCAGAAACAAACTTCACTTTTGTTGATAAAATATCTTAACATTTAAACCGGCAGTTATGACAATATGTTAATTGGTCATAGGTGATGTTTTCAGTTATTGGTTACAATTTCATTCACTATAACACAACTGATGAAGTAGATTTAACTGGTGCCATGGTAGCTTAATAAAGCAAACCTTGTGGGAGGTAGAAAAATGTATGGCTAGGTCTCCGTTTCTCATCTCATTTCACAATTTGCAAATACCCCCTTATGCAAGGCACTTTCGAGTTTCTAGCTCAACTATTTACATTTCCAATGCAATTTTTATAGTCTTCACGCAAAACCAAACCAAAATGATACCTACAGATTACGACAAATGGTCTCATGCACCACTCTCGTTTAGACCAACATTCCAGATTCTTTCACTACATAAGCAATGATCATGCACAAATCTTCACACCACAGTATAATTCTTATTTTTCCAATGGATACATTTACAAGAGGAGGCATCTTAATCAATTTAAGTAGACTGTACCAAAAAAAAAAAAAAATTTAAAAAAACAATCAGTATCCCGCAATGGGGGTGATGGATTCATCAGCAATCAATTGCCTCCACAGAAACATTATACCATCCCAAATACCTCATCAATGATAAACACAATTTTGATACTCCGTAGCATCCAATTTAAGCGTCCACCAATATGGCATAGCATATTGAGATTAAACATCACGTTTCTAGGTTATATTGCAAACTAAATGGATTCCATCGGTTACAAAAAGAAGATACATGAGAGGATTAGAACTCCATAGTGCCACTCAAATAAATAATAACTGAGTAATCTAGGCATCTGATGCCATAAACGTTTTTAAAAAATGGGGGGAAAAGGAAAACGGACGGCTAAAACTAAAAACGATAGGAGCAATTTTTCTCCATGAATCAGCAGAGCAGGTAACACTTGGTTCTAAACTAAGGGAAGCTAGTTCATTCAAAATTCATAATGTAATGAAAAAAACAATGACAACAGTAATTCGATAGCAGTGGCGAACCAAAAGAAAGCAGCAATTGAAAGTGAAGATAAAAATCATCACAACCTTACAGTTTCTTCGGATGGTCCGTTCCGACGGCCGGCGATTTCCGATGATAGAGGTCGGGTGAGGGGAGGGAGTTCCGGCTTAAATTATTCTGCAGAGAGCTTGATGGTTGGCGCTCGATTGGGCTTGAGAATTTTTGGGCTCTTTTGTTGGGCTTGACACCATGTTTATTACTCCCTCCGTCCCATAATTATTGTCCAATTTGGATTTTCATTTCTAGTTAAAATTGTACTAAAAATGAAATTTTAAACTGGACAATAATTTTGGGACAGAGAGAGTAGTATAACGAACACGAGTTTTTTTTTTTTTTTCTTAACTTCAAGATATATTACTATAACAGTAATCTCCTAAAAGAGTTTCACGCCTAAATAGTACACGTGTCAAGACGACGTTAAAAGTTTTCCCCCCAAAATATACTATGTTAGGTTTTTAGAAAGTGTCTCTTTTCACTAAAAAAAAATTAATGTCTAAATCCTAAATTCTAAATTGATCAAACTTTTTTGTATTGTTCGTTGTACAATATTTATAGTCAAATATTGAAAATCGTATTTTTCAATATTAAATGTACGTTTTTTCATCAATATTTATCGTTAAATTCATTGACATTAGTATTGACTACACATTTTTAATAAAATAAATGTCATTGTTCTATGAAATATTTTTCAAAGTCAAATAATTTTTGTCTTGAATTATGTAAAGTATTAATGTTTTTGTTAATTTCATTATTATTCATCATTGATTTCTGTTACCATGTTTTCGTAATTGGTCAAATATATTTAACATTTGAAATATAACTTAATTATGTGCCAAACTTTTGAAATTCATTTTTCAATGTAGATTTTACACTATTTAAGCATCCAATATATTGATATTCATCATAAACATTGAGTCTCAAGACAAAATTCGTTCCAAATGAGATAAAAGTAAGATTTCAGTTATATTGCCATTGTTGTAATATGCATTACATATTACAAATTAATGATTTAAAAGTTAAGTTGATTGATATTTTCAGTTTAATTTATGTTTTCAGGATGGAAGACTCATACAATTTCGTTGAAGATGCGAGCCTTTTGAAAAATGATTGCAATATGAGAGCATCACTCACATTTGGAAGCATCCAATGTTTATCTAAACAATTTCTTCTTCTTCTTTTTTTTTTTTTTTGCTGAAATGATATTCATTGGTGAAAAGGTAAATTAATGTATATTCATAAGTTAATATTATTATATGTCATGCAATAATATTATCAAAATTGTTTGATATTTTTAACCGCTTTATACTTGTGCAGAGAAGTAAGATTCAAGCTTCACCGTGGAAGAATTTGATAACCAGATTTCAAAATGTCATCGTTGAAAGTGAAGTTTTATTCCTTTTGAAATTTGGAGTTTCAGAAAGCAATACAAAATACAAAATTGTTGAATATCCCTACCATATTGAATTCAAGCCAACAACCATTGCGAACTCTTGCAATAACTTGGATTCTATATCTCTTCATGATCACTTGATCAGATAATAAATGGTAGTATTAAGACCAATACTACAGTTGGTAAAAATATAATTTCAGCGTATTATCATATTGTTCAATTGGGCTTACTTACCCGAGATGTTTAGGGTTTAGAATAATATTTGTAGATTTTATAATTTAATATATCATTTTTTTATTTGCCCGCGTAGATGTTATTGGCGAAATAGTTGAAAAAAGTGGTATTCTTCACTATCAAAAGGATGGTAAAGAAATATGAATAATGAACGTGGAGTTTAAAAATTTGAAGTAAGTATCACTTTATGTAAAAACAAAAAAAACAAAAAAAAATTCTCATTTTTTGGTTGATATCGAATTTCAAAAATCCAATTTTTGTTCATAACAAAAGTTGAAATCGAATTTCAAAAATCCGATATTCACAGCTTTGGCCGCTTCCTAGGGCGGTCACTTATTCGGGTGAACTCGAAAACCCACCCGCACCGAACCCAATTTGGGAGAAACGGTTCGGGTTATCAGTTAATTCGGGCGATTGTGAGTGCACCCGATCAACTGCTTAGACATTTCGGTGAGGGTGTGGGTGGGAAAGAAAAATTTCGGTTACCGCCCGAAACCCGATTAAGCAATTAAATTAATTTAGTTTTTTTAAATATAAATATTAATATATGATTTCTCCATTTCTTCTTCTTTTCGGTTGCTGCTGCGCTGCCGTTCCCCACTCCCATCTCCCACAATCCAAGTATCCAACGAATCCTTCAATCTTACAATCTATTTTATCAGCCATCCCGCTAAACAATTCTGGCTGACCACCAATCTAATCATTTCATTCAAACCAATCCTTTTTCCCTTCAAGATTTACTGATCCAGTTCCCCGCCCCTTCTAGATCTAGAGACACTTCTCTTTCTTTCTTTATCTTCCTTTCACCGACGATTGGAGTCGTCGACCGAAGAGCCCCATCGCCCAACCACCTTGTAGCCCTCTCATGCTACCATCCCAAAGATTTCTATCCTCCACTGCCCCAATCGATGAAAAATCTCAAAGATTATTCCAATCGATGAGTCCTAGATGCCATCACCATCCCTTAGCTACCGCCGTTGCAATTTATTATAATTATTGGCACAAGGATGACAAAGTTCACATCTAGGCTTCAATTTGTGCCAAAGATACTTCAGGTCTAGCCCCAGATTCGCATCAAGAAGGATGGCAAAATTCATATCTAGGCTTCTAGAGAAAGATGCTTATGAGTTCAATCATGGAGGATAGTTGATTCGGTCAGCTTATGAGATTTGTAAATATTTGGTTATAGTTTCTGGCTTTGTTTAACTGTAATACTCATGATTCTTGGGGATTCAATTGTTTTTGGGTCTCAATTATCATGGTTTTGTCTTTTTGGATTGTTAATTTAAAAATGCAAAAAAAGTATGCGGGTGAACCGCAAACCAAACCGAAGAACCCGAACTTCTTTTCGGTCGGTTCGGTTCGGTATTAAAGATTTTGCAGTTCGGTCTCGGGCAGGTGTGTTGAGAGGAAAAAAAACCGATTAACCCGAACTGACCGAATCCGCCCGAATTGGCAGTCCTACAGCACTTCCTTATTCATAAACTATTTTTGGCCATTTCTATTTTCCTTGATTATTTTTTGGCCAAAATTTCTTCTCATCGACAATGAAGAAGCATTTTTTATAAAAACAAGGTAATAATTTATTCAGTATATCTAAAAGTTCTAATGTATAGTAACTATTAGGAATAACAATATCAATGAGTTAAACCATAAATATTCATGAAAAAAGTGCAATCAGCATGGAAAAAAATATATTTCAACAATTTGAACATAGATTAGGCACAATAAAGAATCAAAACATATTTGACCATTTAGGGTGAAGTATTAGTGTTTTTGGTCAATTTTCATAAATATTCGTCAAGGATTTATGTTATCGTTATGTGGTTTTCATGAAATCTAAATTCAATAACGTTGAACAAATAATAAATGACCAAATATTTGTAATATTGTTTATTGTGCCTAATTTATAGTCAAACCTCTAAAAATTATTTTTCGT